TCTACAACCAAGGGTAGTCTACCCAGCAATGCTATCATTTAAAATTAAAGGAGAGATACCATGTGCCAAAATTAATTCAAAATGGATCAAAGACCCAAACATAAGATCTGAAACAATAAACTGCACAGAAGAAAACACAGATCCTAAACTTATGGCCATTGGGTTCAAAGAGGATTTTATGAATTTGACTTCAAAGGCAAGGGAAGTAAAAGCCAAAATAAATGAATGGGACTATATCAAACTAAAAAGCTTCTGCACAGCAAAATAAACCATCAACAAAATAAAGAGGCAACCAACCGAATGCATGAAATTTTATCACAGGAAACTAATCTGTGACAACAGCAGATTAATGGCCATTGAGGACATTGGTGGAGGTAAGAAGTGGGGGGAAAGGAGAGGAAAGAAAGGGACCCCACCGCCCCCCAATTTCCTATCTGAGGCAGACTCTATGTGGGCTGGCTGGTGACACGAGGAGAAGTTTTTAAATGTTTGCATCATTTTATGGACCCAAAGACAACTCTCCAGAAACAGTGTGCAGCCAAACGGACTGCACAGAAGTCTAGACCCCAGGACTTTGGCTTCCTCCCTCTTTAAGGACCATATCACTTCATCTTGCAAAATGAATTATGAATCATTTAACTACTAAAGACCATGTTTTTCTGACTGTGAATATTTTTATTATCACTGAAAAAGTTAAGTTGCCTCCCATCTTATCAGCAGACACATCACATGAAAAAAGCTGTCAGTAGCCTATCAGAAAAGTCACTAGAGAGCATTTGAACCAACACAGAAACAAATGGATTATTGGATAATAATAATTTTAGATTTTTTTGTGTTTTCTATTTCATTTTTAACATTATTTTTAATCTTACCTTTTCCCATAAATAGTTGGAGAGTAGATAATAAAAGAGACTTGCATAAAACAAATATGTATAGTCATATGATACTCAGAAAATTATTTCAGAAGAAATTTCTAAAAGGGAAATATTTCTTCTATGGTAAATAAAAATGTACCAAAAAAAAAATGTCGTTGTTTTTCCCTGTAGCTAAATAAATCTGTGAAGAGTTCTAGTGCCCTGACGGTAACTGGCTATTAAACTTAAAAGGGAAAGGTGTACATGATTTACTTTCACTCTCCCCCACCATTTAGTTGTGTGTGTGAGTGTGTGTGTGTGTGTGTGTGTGTGTGTGTGTGTGTGTGTGTGTGTGTGTGTGTTTGGGTGAAGATTATGCATTAAACTTATTAGATTACTCTTATTTTTCCCCAGAAGTCACCCAAGGGGAAATTTTACAGGCTTTTTAGTAGGATATACTACACAACCAAAAACTTCTCTGATTTTCACAATTTCATTTCAAAACACACATACAGTCTTCTTATGGTTTACTTACTCTGGTTGCTGCTACTATTCTACATTCCCAATCTTTAAGCATATAGTTCCTCCCAATAGATAATTTACATTTTAATTGTAGTATGTTTTACATTATCTAGTTACCTTTTTTTTTCCGCCTTTGCAGTGGGAACATGTAAGGCCAGGCCAATAACATGTTTACAAAGATTCGGTAAGGCTTTGCTGTCCTGTGCTTCTCACCACATCAGGTCAGGTCCCTGTGAAGCAAGGTCGTGAGAACATGGCCGCTTGCTGTGTTGCACCTTTTCTAGCCCTTAGGGAGGTCCTTCTAGATATAAGGTTGAAGAAGGTAGTAGTATTTAGAACAAGTACACGTGGATTCTTATCATTTTTGCCCATACTATTTTAAAACTTCTTTTCCTAATCAGGCTGAGTTCTTGACTGGCTATGTGGTAAGAGGCCATTTTGTTTACACTGACATTTTTCTAGGAAACTTGTCAGATATAGTCTCATGTTGAGGAGATAGATTGGAATAGTTGTAAGAAAGGAATACAGCTGAGAAAGGGAAAATTGAAGCAAAATGGACTGAAACTAAAAACAAATGCCTTTTAAAAAAAAATGTTGAGTAAAAAAAAAATGCCTTGCTTCATTTTTGCTTTTCACTTCATTTTCCCACATGGCTTTCTAATGGCGCAATCAGCCACTAACAAGCAAGAAGCCACTTATTACAACATATTATATTTAACTTCATGAAACATAGTGCTTCATATTTAAGTACTATTTTTCATCTTTGCAAATTGAGCACTTTTTTTTTTGGTCTAATAGACACATGGTACCTCTCCAGTTAACAGGAGAAAAACTTGTAGTAAAAGGCAATATTACAAACTGAAAAGTCATAAGAAACATTTTTTTAAAAACTAACTGGAATCTGCCTTTATCTATTTCCAATACCCCTTTCTCTTTTTTATTTTATTTACCCCAATAATACATGTGCCTGCCTTATTCTCCATAATAGAAATTGCCATAACCTCTTCTTATCTTACTTTCAATGATCAAGGTCCAACTCAAATCCTTCTTAGCATCATGGAATTGGGCACTACAAATTCCAGGAGAAACTTAAAACTATTTAGTATTTCCATGTATACTCGTCATGGTTGAGGCCACTGCCCAAGCCCACCTTTATTTCAAACGGTTTTCCTCAGTCTTATTCTCCAGCACTTGGCAGGAAAGTCATGGTAGCTGGTCCATGGTCTGGCCATCAACTGGATGAGGGATTGGAACCTACGTAACCCAAAGAGAGCTGATTCCTTCACTGGCAGCCTCCCAAGAGTAGGCTTGGTTCAAAAGGCTCAAAAAACAGAAGTGATGATATTTAGCTGATGTCAAACCACTTCCTCCAGAATTTTCCCAGGAGAAATGAGTGACTAGCTGGTCAGTTGTTGTGAGAGAAGAACAACAGATTTATCTACAGAGAGAAAACAAAATTCCATGAGATAAAGATAAGCTGGCCACCATAGAGAAAGCAAACATCAAGGCTCTTTGGAACCCTGCCAAGTTTTCCAGTCCTAGATCCAGTATATCTAGTATATCGAACAACTACCCCTCCTCATTCCTGAGGAGCTCAAGTAAGATTCTGTTACTTGCAAGCAAAGAACACCCAGCCCCTATCCTATCCTTCACCATCCCCTACAACACGCTATAATACAACATCCCTGCCCAGTGGTCGTGCTTATGTTTAAATATCTCCAGTAGCAATTTACCACTCAAGTTATTCCAATATATCTCTAGGTAATGAGATTATAAAGCCATTTCTTATATTGTGTAAATGCTTAATGCCCTGAATGTTATTTCTCCAGCTATTTAAAGCTTCACGAGACCTTTCATCATTCTGATATCTCTCTTCTGAAAATGTCTCAGTTTATCCTGTAAATTTTCCAAATTGTGGCTTCCACAGCTGAAAATAATAGTCCATGTGTGGTGTAACCAACATAGATGTCCTGGACTACCACTTTCCTGGTTCTGTATAATGTTTCAGGTACTGTTACCTAAGACTGCACTAGACTTTTTTCAATGACACTGTTGAATCATTTTAGAGTTACTGTTACTTAAAAGCACTAACTCATTTTGAAATGAGTTTTAGATAACCCACATGTTCCCACCGTATATCTATGTAATTCATTTTTTAGATCCAAGGTTATAGGATGTTAGGTTTACAAGGTAAATTTCATCTTTGCTAGGCTAAATTGTATCAGTTTTCAATCTTCCATCAAATGTGCCTGATGACCCACCGCAGCCTTTTATGATGACTTGATCCTCTGAATTGCCCTAGCAAATATACTTATTTCACTCATTGGGCATATTATTTATACTACCTAGTCAAATCATTCCTCTTTTAATGAAGGTTGACTCTAAAGAACAGAGCTGATATATCTTATTTTCAGAAATTATGGTGAGCTATATACAAAGATTTTACTTGTGACTAGCAACATTCAAAAATGAAAAAAAAATGTAAGCATACCCAGTGGATTGTATGCTGTTTTTCTAGTCAGTACTTATGAGCTTCCAGATATGTGATTGGTTTGGGGCTTTGCAATGAAATCTAGTATATTTTCCCCCTCCTTATGGAGGATGAGTGGATAATACTCTTAAAACATGAGCAGATAATCATTACCTTCAACTGATAGTATTTTGGGCCTCTTTTAAAATATATTTCTATTAAACATTTGTAAGACAGATAGTGCCTGCTATAGGTGGTTGAAAGGATCATTTGGCTTGAGTCTTCAATGCTTGAAAAATCTCAAACTTAGACCTTAACTCTACATGAAGTTATACATACAGCTACAGAGATACACTAAAAATATTAAATTTTGCCCCTCATAATCCATTTTAAACTCATGTCCCATTAAAACACCATCCTACTGTTGTGCATTATGAATAAATATATTTTAACATATCCTACAAATATCATATGAATAATGGAATGATATTATACTGTATTTTTATATTAAAAGCAGAACACTAATTTATTAAAAAGAAACATTTAAAACTGTATCACAACTGCATGCTACCCTGTTTGATAAATTCTTTATTTCTTTCAATATTCTGGTTGATTAGTAAATGGAGATAAGCCAGGCCTTTCTCAGCTTCTCAGAGGCTCTAGAGGCAAATGAGCATCATGATCTCATTACTGAAATGTTCTGATGGCCTTTATTTCCAGCCACATTAAACATATCCTCACTGAACAACAAGACCTTTTACTAACTGCTTCCTCCTGAGACGGTTTCTTGTATTTGGTACGTTTTTAATGAGCAGCAGTAATTGTGTGAGTCACCATGCTAGGTTCAGTGAAGGAGAAAACATCATCAACAAGAGCAACATAAAGGTGATCCCTTCCTTCCAGGAGCCCCCCATGCCCACAGACAGCCCATAATTACCTAAAGCACAAAGTAAAGGATTGGGGATTGTGTTTCAGGAATAAACCAAACTACCTGAGATCAGAAAGGAGGAGACATAGTCAGATTAAGAGATGTAAAAGAAGTGTGCCAGTCCCATATTTCTATACTATTAGCCATCCTGGCTCTAATCACAAGTTGTTTTTGGTCCCTTTACTCCCATTTCCTGATTTTAACCCCACTTGCCATTCATTGGGAAGAAGAGTATTTCTGTCACACATCGTGCATGGGAAGGTGATATTCCAGCTAGGAGAGGGTACATACAGTCACAGTTGTCATTAGCACTTCAGCTGCCAACGTTCCACCCCACTCTCTCCTTTAGCTCTGCACGTTCCTGAGCTGATGATACAGCTAAGAGCAGTGTCTTGCTGAGCTTCTGATCCTCCTTTTCTTTCTCCCGGTTTCATTCAGTTGATACAGGGCTGAAATGATGCAAATGGAATTTAATTAAAGCAAAAGGAAAAGAAAGGTCAAAATAGGTAAACCAGCTCTTAGCTATTCTAGCACACCCTTCATAGATGCCCTTCACTAAAAAGGTGCTAAAGGGCATACAGCACCCCATTTCATTTCTTCAACGCTGTCACTTTACATGTGCTTGGGCATATTTATCTGTGAGTGATAAAAACGGCTACTATTTGAGGACAAATCTCAGCTTGCTCACCTATTGTCTTGCAGCATGTCCCTCCCATTATAGAAGGCATGAAGTGGCTAATCTGCCAGAGCCACTCACCTCCAGCTTCTGGAGCTGGGAAAATGGTTCTGGTATCACGAAGTAAATATTGTGAGCTGTAAACATGAAGGATCACACTGGAGTTTTGATTCCCAGTAGAAACACTTCTTTCCATAGACATTTAAAATTGCATTGTCTTTTATACATGCAGAAAACACAAGCAATACAGCACAAGACACTGAGACAACACTTAAGGCAGAGTGGGACCTGCCGTTTTGCTGGGTCAGTCCTCAGGTTAATGATCAAAGACTAATAATAATTCTCTGTGATAAGTGATGTGGACCCTTAAGCAAGACATGGACAACCAGTGCTGACCAGATATCTAAGGACTGAAGAATAAGACCAACTTGGGAACAAACAGAAGGGGACCCATATCACAGACAGAGTATTCTCCTGGTCATATTAGCCAAGGTTCTTTACCAGTTCATTAATGAGGCAAAATGAAAAAGATGAGAATCTAATGACTTATACTTTATTATATCTGCATTTGATAATAAACTGTATATTTCTTAATACAGAGTTTAATTAAGCATAATGAACCCTCTTGTTATTCCCACAAGGAACCCAGCTAAAGAGCCTCTTTTAGGTGCTGTTATGTAGAAATATCTCGAATGAATGAATCCTTTTGACTATTAGAATCACAGTCTTGGTACCCTGGGGGGGGGTGTTAATAGGGCAAATAAGGGTTACATTTGTTAGTAAATGACAGAAAATCCCAAATAACAGTGGCTTAAACAAGATGGACGTTTATTTCCTTCTCATATTACCTGAACATCCAGATCTAGCGTATCCACCAGGGACCCAGGCACCTTCTATCTTGTTACTCAGCCATCTTCAGTATGAAGTTCCTAACAGGTTGTTGGTCCAGGATAAAGCTCCAGCTTCAGCCCTCATGTCCCTGCACTCCAGCTAGGAGGAAGAAGGAAAAGAGAGGTAAATACCCTTCTATTTAAGGACGTACATCTTACCTACATCCTCAGAACTTAACCACAACCAGCTGCAAATGAAGATGTGAATTCTATTCCTCTTTTTAGGTGGGCATGGTCCAGACAAAAATCAGAGGCTTTATCATAACGGAGGAAGGATGAAGAGCAATTTAGAGCCAGAGAGCAGCTAGTAGCCAAAACTCCCTCTATATTATACAATTTTGTCTCAACAAAGTATTTTTCTATTTGAATATAGCAGTAGCAAACATTTATTGAGAGTTTACTATGTCCCAAGCAATTAACTAAATCTTTTAAAATAGTGTTATGGGTTGAATCGTGCCCCCCAAATATGTTGAAGTCTTAACACCCCAGGACCTCAGAATATGACTTTATCTAGAAATAGGATCTCAGTGGGTATCGTAAATATAAGATGAGGTCATTAGAGTGGGTCCTAACCCAATATGATTGGTGTCCTTATAGAAAGAGGAACTTGAACAGAAACATAACACCTAGGAAAGAGTACGTGAAGAGACACAGAGAAAATGCCACGTAAAAAAGGAATATAGGAATGATGAATCTAAAAGCCAAAAAACATCAAAGATCGTTGGCAAACCACCAGAAACTAGGAAGAGGCAAGAAAAGAGTCTCCCCTAGAGGTTTAAAGAGGAGCCTGGCCCTGATGATACCTTGATTTCAGACTTCTAGCATCCAGAACTGTGAAAATAAATTTCTGCAGTTTTAAGTCACCCACTTTATGGTACTTTGTTACAGCAGCCATAGAAAACGCATACAAATAGGTTATCTCATTTAATTCTCACAACTACTGCTATGAAAGATGTACTGTGGTTCCATTTATACAAATACAGAATTTAAGGCTCAAAAAGTTAAGGAACATCCCAAAATTCCTTGTGCTTTGAATCAAACCAAGGCTTTTGTAATTCCAGAGCCTGAACTTCTAATCTACTACGCTAACTCAAGAATTAACCCAAAGTCCATGTGTTTTTAGATCTTCCAACCCTTCTCAGTGTGGACACCACTACTGAAAACTGTGAAGTGTTTTGCTACTATTAGGTGGTATTATTATTCTCCACATGCCTTTGTAGCATGACATTGTGACGTATCATCCAAACTGACATTGTGAAAATGAAAAAATATATTATTCATAATTACACTGGGACAATAAGCCTAAATCAGGACTGTCTTGGATAAATCAGGGCTTACAGTCACACTAATTTAAATTCACGGCTCAGTGCCCCACTCCCCTTAACTCCTAACCAGAAATAGCATTATAGTAGCTTTATATAATTCTAATAATCACAGCTGGACAACAACAAACATACCTTAACTATGCAAAAAATAATAAAATGGTTCCACAATAAGATATTTCTTGATAATAAGCAATGCATAGATCATAGAAGATAGTTACAAGAATGATTTTGTAAGATGATTAATTCAAAAAAAGAAAGATTACATTTTGATTGTTTAGCCAAAAGTACCTGGGCAGTCCTTCCAGACCTCTAAATACTGAGGATCACTACCTCTGGAAAGTTAAGAAAGAGCAAAAGAAAGGTCTTTCTTATTTGAAACATTGCATACTAAGGCTCTACTCATTACATTAAAGTGATACATTGGAGAATATCAAACATCCTTTTTTTACAAAAAAACAAAATTACTCCTCTTCAGACTCCTTTCCAAGGTTGAGGAAAAAAGTAACTTCCCCAGGGATGTGGTCTGAAAGTTTTAATCTATTTTCTCATCCAAACTTGAACCTTAACAAAGTCAGAAAGGAGTTGGGTTAGCCATCAGGAAGAGCTTTGTAAATTCAGACTTCTGCCAAGATAGAGCTTTCTTTGATTATTTCTAAGAGAGCTAGGTGATCTTAGAGGCTACATAGCCTGGACTGCAACCAAAATATGAGGAAAAGTAATAATCCTACCTGAGTATAGTATACTATCTACATAATTACAAAATCTGATAAAAAGTTCATATTAAGTCTCTCTACATTCTTGAAAGTCTGGCTCCCATGGCCTTTATCTGCGGCTAAGACAGACTCAGTAAAACTCTTCATGTGCATGTAATATGCATTTATCTTCCACCTCAAACACTATATAATCTAAGTAAATTGTAGGGTTCTAAAATGTTAACTGTGTTTACCTCTGCATGGGAGGATTGCCAGGGATTCTGTGTGTCCTATTCTTTCTTCTTCGTGTTTTCTCATTGAAAATATAGTACTGTTGAAATTAAACAAATAATACTTTTGAAATTATAAAAAAAAGACTTTAAGTAATATCATTAAAATATGTGTAAAAAACTTCCAGTTTCTCATCCAGCATATATGAAGCTGGAATACTCCACTCCGTTCTAACAACAAGTAAAATGTTGAACAAACAACACTATATATCATTTATGGCTACAAATGAATGAATTAAAATATAAAGCATGGATAGAAAAGATACACACCAGTTTCATGAATTGGCTGACTCTAGGGAGGAAGGGAAAGGAATAGAGAAGGGCAAAGTGGTGTCTATTGTGACGGTAAATGCTTATTTTTGCAATTTGAAGGAAATATGACAAAATGTTAAATTTGTTAACTTGATGGATTGTATATGAAGTTTATTTTATAATTCTCTTTGGCCTTTCCACATTTTTAAAATATTTCATAATTTTAAATAAATGTCTACGAAAAAGAACCAATTTAATTGAATATTTAATAAGTACTTAGGTTACCACACTTACTGTCCCCGAAACTGTTCTCTATGTATTCTGTCTCTTTGTGATTAAATATTTTCTGGGCCTGTTTCCTCATCTGTAATAAGCAGGGTGAATAGATGGTCATTTGAGATTCTTTCTAGCTCATATACTCTCGGTGCCTTCCCGTTCCCATTCACTTCCACCCCGACAATCCCCCTTTAAAATTCACTAACTGAATCTGTTATCAATCCATCTTCCTTTTCCCTCTTAAAGCCTGCTTTTCTGAAAAGTCATCAGGAAAAATGTGAACAAAGCATATTCAGTAATCAAGTTTGCTAAAACTCGAGAAGAGCTGTTTATTTTCCATTTAAAATAAAAGCCCTACATTTTCCTTTGTCATCTCTGACAGAAGACGTGCAGGGAGGAGGAGGTGGTGGTAACATACAAAGCTGCTCCCGTAGGAGCAGGGGTACCACTGCGCTTACCTGGGCATCAGACTTCAGCCAAAGAGCAGAAACTTGGTAATAGACTAAAATGAGGCCATCGTACTCTGTACAGTCTGGAGAGGACAGCATGGGCGGAACAAATTGTACTTTGCAGCTGGCGGTGGGGGTGGGGTGGTAACGAAGGTGGGGTCTGGGGAGAGAGAGCTGCCCAGATCAGAAACATCCTGTAAGCATCTCCGCGTAAGGAGGAAGGTGTATTTAGCTGGGCGAGTCCCAGGGTAGGAGGTGGGGGGAACCTTCCCGGGCTGAGGCACCCAAGGTAACGGGGCTGCGGCCCGCGCACGTGCGCGGGTGGGGCCAGGGGAGCCCGTGGATCCGCTCGCTCCCGGTTTCCCGCCGCGCGCAGACGCCGGATGAGCGAGGTCGCGGAGGAAGCAGGTCCGGCCAAAGGGGGACACCTAGGTCTGCGAGACTCCCACCTGCTGAGGACCCCGGTGCAGCCATGGGCTACCAGGGGCAACAGCCCATCGTCTCGCCACAGGTAAAAGTGAAGGCTGGGGCAAACTCTGGAGCCAAGTCCCTCAAGTTTCACTCACCCTGCAGCTGAGGTCGGCTACCTTCACCTGGTGTTTGGGTTTAGCACCGCGGAAAGTTCTCTGGGAGAAAAAGTTCTGCCATGATCTAACGCTATTTTTCTTCTTGGAAGGCACTTTTCAGTATAACCCCCTTAATTTCACAAAATCATATCATTGGCTCCCTACAGACCCTGAGAGTCCATGCAGCAAGCAGCCTGAACTTGGCGCAGGTGTGATCAGTACATGTTAGGATGGAGTTTGTTAACAAAGCTGTTGAACTACTAGCGGTTATTGTTACTCTTTATTATTATACTCATCACTTTCTTTTATTATTAACATTATTTATTATCACTACTGATATTGTTTTAGTCCCCTACATTACATATTTGTCTGACACTTTTCTATTTTGGGGGCTAGTAAATATTTGTTTAATTACGTATATATTATATGTTATTGGCCATTTTGTATATTTAAATAGCGCGATCTAGATGACAAAGAAGCCCTCGTTTCTGAACATAAGCACAAAAGGAAAACTTGTCGTCAGTTTGCTGCTGTTTTTAATGTTGTCAACTCGATTATAGGATCTGGTGTAATAGGTAAGTGTTGTTTTGTTTTCTTTTAATTTTATGTGAAAGGCCAAATTTAAGACTCTTACATTGTTCGTGTTCCTTGATTATTTTTAAAAGAAAAAATCTTAAATGATAAACTTGGTAATTTTCTTCTATAAAAGGCACCCTTTTTCACCATTGTAGCAATGTGCATCACATCAGTCTCTTTTATGCTGGAGTTGTGGACCACACTCTTTCCACATTTGAGAGTGTCCTACACATCATGTTGGAACTACGTATGGGAGATGTTGGAAGTTTTTTTTTTTTTTTTCCACAGGCTGCGTGGTCAATTGATAATGTTACCTAATTTATGTTTTCCTTTTCCTGAAGTGTCCAACATTACTTGACTCACCTTCTGTGAACTTCTAGAGGTATAAAACCAGATGATTTGGAAATATTGGAAGTATAAGTTTAATGTGAAAACAATCTTGTGAAAAATTAAATACAAGCAATATTTCCTTACTGTTCTATATAGTGTTAAATTTTAAAATACAAACTCATGAATTTATATTAGTTTTAAATCTCACTTAATCAATAAATAGAAATTGGTTAAATGAAAGTGGCTATGATTTTTTTTTAACAAAGGAGCCAAATAATCACAATTGAAAGAAATAAGCAGCTCATATTTTCCCAATTTAAAGCACAGGGAAAATTCTGACAAAATTAAGTGCATTGCATTACAGCAATAAAATTTATTGGTTTTTTCTGTGCCTACTTTTCTATTGTTATTTGAAAACATCCAATTTAAGACAAAGCAGGGACAAAACAGAATCCTGCAATACTGATAGAGAGAAATATTACATTTTTCCTATATAGTTTTGACATTTTCTAACAGTCATCATTTATCTTGATTGAGTTACTTTCTTTACCTTTCACAAGTTGATGTTTTTCTTGATTTTACTTGTTTCCATATATAGGTTTTTGTTTTTGTTTTTTCAAATGGTACATCAAAAGGAGGTACCTGAAGCAAAGTAAAAACAAGTAAGGACAAAGACTTGTTTGAAATTCTGCCTCCATGTTCCACTGGAGATGTGGGCAGCTCTACTGGGCAGAATTCCAGAGTTAAGTCCTGATGTGAACACTTTAAGCTGATCCGTGTCAGCATCATTAAAAAGTACCTCTTAATTATGCTCATATATTTTTAAGGGAATATTTTTCAGAGAATAAAAATTCTGGGTGAAAATATTTAATTATATTTTATTTTAAATATTTTAAAAATATTTTATTGTTCTTTATCTAATATTGTCCATTTCCAAAAAAAATTATGAAATATTTGATATACTTCCTTCAGCTTTATAAAAAAATTTTTGCCATTTCATTTTTCTCTCCTTTTTCTACATGGTTGCCCATTTTGATTCTTCATATCCCATTACCCTTCATTGCTCTTATTATCCTCTGTGCTTTTCCAGAGAGTCCATGAAGAAAGCTTTGGGTCATTACTCTCTACATATTCTAGATCATATGTCCCCATCATCCTAAAGTGAACATTATTTTGTGAACTGACATCTATTTTTTCATTTGTTGCTTTCTTTTTCTTATTCCATCACCTCATAAACGTGTTCTCTTGACATGTTAACTTATAACATTTTATTTTGAAATAAATATTAATATGCTAACATTTAATTTTAGTAGTGATATGCACTGTTTACAACTATGTTATATAAATATGTCAGTTTACTTAGCCTATTATATACAGGAATTGGGGAAAACTTCTGTATTTCTAAATGTTTTATTAATGTGATGGATGGGGCATTTTATGTTTTTCCAGGATTGCCTTATTCAATGAAGCAAGCTGGCTTTCCTCTGGGAATATTGCTTTTATTCTGGGTTTCATATGTTACAGGTAAAATACTATATAATTGCTCCTTCTTGCAACTTAACTTGCACAGGGACTATTTAAAACACACACACACACACACACACACACACACACACACATGCACGCACACTAATTGGATTCCCTAATTTTTATGCATCAAAGAATCCTAAAGAATTTAGACATTTATGTCTAAGGAGATTTACTCTTCTTTCTAATCCTTTGAACAGATTAGAAAAGCATTATATATTACCAAGCCTAAATCCTTTTCATGTGCCCTTTTCACTTTATGCAGAAGGTGGTAGATGGGGGAGTCATTTTAAAGGCTGATTAAGGCTAAGACCAACTGTGTTCTGAAAGTGTAGACATCAGGACTTCCTTTCCCACAAAAACACACGAATGAGCAGCCTTTTCCAGCTAAGCTTCTGCTGCCCCCCTGACTAAAAACCTTGCGGCTCCCCACCTTGCCCATGCCTGCCCAGGCTCCCAACCTGCCACTGTCCTTACGTGCAGTGATAAGGTGCTTCTGTCCAACTTCTTCTCTTCTGCTTCTCCTTTTGCATGTAACACATTCATTCACACCTACATTTTGCCACCCTCCCATCTAAGTGCAGACTATACAGTTCATAATCGCCTCCTGTTGTCCTCATCCTTGCCTTGCCACCCCACCACCGCACCTCATGACAAACACAAGGTGTCTCCTCTACCTTAGGATCACTGTGGTAGAGGCAGCAGTCACAGACACCTGCTGCGGTTGCTGCCATGTGGCCACTGTGTGTGATCACCTACTTGTAGATGCTCTTTTACCAGGTACTGCAAAGCACCCCAGCCGTCCCCTTCTCCAGAATGTTGACCTGGGCCTCAGTGGCGCAGCCTTTTTGTGAGGTTATGAGCTCCAGCCATTTCCCCACAGCCTTCAGTCAATGACTCACTTGATAGAAACCTGGCCTTCAGGAGGGACCAGTGTGTGATGCAGTTGGAACTCCAAAGCGCTACCACTGCAGGGCTGAGCTGCAGCTAGTCTCCACCTGAGACCTCGTCTTTGCTGAGCTGTTTCCCCTGCCCTATCCTCTCACTCCCCTTCTCCTGGGAGTACTCCCGCAAAATCCTTGCCCAAGGACCTGTGTCAGCTCTGCTTCTGAAGATGCTAACCAAGATGCCACCCCTCAAACTCTCAGGCCTCCAAGACTGGCCTGCGACTCTGCTGCTCTTTCTCAGGCTGAGGCAGAGAGAGTCAAGCATATGAGTACAGTAAATCCTAAAGTCAGAGCTGCAGAAGCACTGGGTCCCTTCCTCCTGCTTTCTTCTCACCACTCTCACTCCCAAAACCTAAGCTGCTTTTAGCTTCTACAGCTCTTAATTAGTAGCTTAAAAACCATAGCTTAGTGGGAGTGGGGTGGGCTTAGGGTGAGCAGGTGATTCTCCACAAATCTGTCCTCAGAGCCCCAGCTGTTGTCTTCCTCCTGCCCTGGCAACGTGTCCTGCCAGCGCGACTCAGGATGGCCGCTGTGGCGCCTGTAGCACCAACAGCACTGCGAGGCTTGATCAGGCGCAGGAGCTCGGGCCCCAGACCCACTGAGTCGGCACGTGCACCCACAGGCTGCTCTCCTCTGTTCTTTGACGTGGCGGGGCCTTGGGCTGCAACCTCTTTCCACCCACAGTATTTAGTGGCCTTGCATTGCCACCCTCACCAGTTTGTACAGGTATAAGGTGTAACCTGAACCCGATTCTTGCTTTGTCTGTATTTACAAATAGGTGGAGTCCGATAGCCTGTGACCACATTGAAGTGCAGAGACGCTTTCCATTGGGTTTTCTGTCGTGCACGTGTACTCTTTTAGATCAGTCGTCTATAGAAGGTATTACAAAGCTTGAGGGTCCCCCCTTATATTTTTGACCATTCCTGAATCTCATACTAACGTGTACAACATATGCTGGCACAGATTGTTGCCACTGCCTGAAATATAGGTTTTCATTTGGACATCTTCATTCCCTGGGGGAGTAAGTATCTTTCTGTGTATTAATGAATGTTGTTTAGAATTACTGTTATCTTTCTGCCAAATTAAAAAGAAACAAGCGTCCCTTTATTTCTATGGAATTATAATCCAGAGTGGATTTTTTATTACTTTAAATGTCCAGTCAGTCTGTTTGTGTGGTCATGGACTTGATCAGACCCTGGTTAATATTTGAAGCTAATGCTGGGACTGAATAACCTGTTTTAAATGCCCAAGGGATGATGTATCGCTGTCTAAGCAAACTGCTGGAGTGAAATGAGCGTTAAAGCCTGCCTTTCCTGTTACCAAAACAAAACAAAACAAAACAAAAAACAAAACCATAGCTTAGTAATGTGGGATCCATAACTTTGTGCTTATTCAGAGTTGCTGGTGTTTAAAAATTGCATTCTGTTCGTGAGCACATTTATCACACTGAAAAATCCCATCTAAGGATTTACCTTTGTCGTTTCTAATTTCCTGTTTCCCAGTTAACCAGCACTGATAAATAATTATTTTCCACCCATACATAATAACCATGGCTTATTTAAGTGCAGTGTAAACATTTATGCACATTGTAAACCACTGGATTAAAAACATTAAAATATATATCACCTAAAAATTCAGTGTTTGAGGAAAATGAGCAGTTTACTAAAGCCAAACCATATTATACATAAATAAACCATATTGTGAATAATTTCTTCAACTGATACTATATAATATATATATAACATATAGCAATCACTGTGAGCAGTCCTTTCCAAAGTTATATATTGCAAAGTTACCAATCAGTGAAAATTACTTATTAAATTAGTTGCATGATCAAAACCTTTAAACAATTTTAATAAATAAAGGATAACCACACAAAAGTGAAAAATGTATATATATATAGACTATGATTCATTTTGTTTTTTAATTAGGATTTTAAGAGCAAAATTTACAAGTATAGTGTAATACTGAATTTCTTAAAAATTGACACTGTACGGGGGAGGGAAAAAAATTGACACTGTAATTACATAATGATTTGTCTCTAGAATTATTCTTTTGTTTTTTTAAGGCCTCTAATGAGTCATGTCCCATTCAACAAGTAGTTTTTCTAATTTCTGTTTCATTGTTTGTGCAGTGGTGGGGAACAAAAAGGAGTTATAAGTATTTATAACAAATAGTTTTATTTAAATTGTTTTAAGATTTTCTTATTTGTTGATTAGAGAAAATAAACACTGTTGTCTATACATAATTATTTAAGAGAAAATTTCCCTTCTGAATAACATATTTACTCAAGGATTACCTAAAATTTGCAAACAGTATATGTAGAGTGAGATCAAAATGTTATAGTGATTGATGTTTGAGATTTTAAAAACATTTAAGATAATATGTTTATAGCCTGTATTTTACAAGCAGGTAAAATCAATTATATTTATTATTGACCAAATTTTTTGCAAATTGTTAACTTCAAGAAATACACTTTGAACTTTTATGAAACTCAATATTCTCATTCCAAATATATAATTCTTCCTCAAACATTTACAACGTCTATGAAATTGGTTACCTCCTGTTACTCAAGTCTTGATTAATTCTCTTCCTTGGCCAATAAGTTGCTGTTTTACTGCCTTTAGCATCTGTCTACTTTCTGATCAGTCCTCCTTACTGCTGTAAGAGTTATCTTTATTAAACCTCAGCCTGATCACTGTTTCTCCTCCAATCCAAACAACCTAAGACTTTATAATAATAGCAGGGGAAAAAATTATTGCATTCAAATTCCTTCATGTATAGCCACAGTCTGCATTTTCAGTCTCACCTCCAACTGCTCTAACTTCTCTTTCACCCTGTCACCGACCGCCAGGTGTTTTAGCTATTCTGGACAATTTCATTCCCCAGATGCACAATGTGCTTTCGCACTGCCTTCCCATGGACTGTCCCCCTGCTTGGCATTCTATTTCTTCTTGACCTCATGAAATCTTGTTCATTCTTCAAGGTACTACTCAACTCTTCTGTGACGCTTTTCCTAGTTTTAAACAAAAGAAGTATAATTAATCCCTCTGTCTTTTGTGCTTCTAGAATATGTTTAAATGTATTAAGTCATTTGTCACATTAATTTGCATCAGATGTATAGATATCTAGCAATCCTGTTCTATGGGTCATTGATTCATGCAGCAAATATTTACTGACACTGTCGCCATGAAGCACATTATCCCTGCCTGTATGAAGTGTAGGGTGGCAGGCTGGCAAAAACACAATGATAGTACTTCATGAAAAACACCATAATATAAACATGCGCATGATGCTGGAGACACTGGCACTTAACCCAGCCTCAAAAGAGCAGGTGTGTTTGGGGGAGGAGGAGATACCTACACTGAGTGTTTATGAAAACACATGAGTGAGCAAAGAAAATGGAAAGGTACTCAAAGGAGATTAAAATGTGGAAATACAAAAGTGATTCAGCCTGACTAAAGGGCAGGGTTGATGTTTGTAAGCAGAGGGAGATGACGGTGGAGAGGTTAACAGGGTCATTTATGAAGGCTCTCATGCAATGATTATCATCACTGGCCAGGTGCCGACCATAAAGCTGCCACTACACTCAATGCTTCTCATTGCATGAAGTCAGTGTTCATGTTCTGCTTCTATGGAGGAGGAAACTGTGACTTATTAGGGTTAAAATGACCTTCCCAAGGTCTGCAGTTACTTGCAGTCTGGTTCAGATTTTGATTAAGTGCGTGGATTCTGGGGCCAAACTACCAGGGTCTGAGTCCTGCCTTTCACTACTATCTCTGTGAAGTTTGGCAATTTTCTTAACTTTCTATGTCTCACTTTTCTCATCTATTTATATGGGGGTTAATAATAGCACCTACTCAGGGTTCTTGTGAAGATTAAGCAAGTTAATATACATAAAGCATTTAGAAAAAGTCCTGGCACATAGAAAGTGTTGTGAAGGAATTTGCTAGTATTTCTGTGGTTGTAACCATTGTTATCATTATTATTGGACTCCAAATACAATGGTTTTTCCACCACCACATGCAGCCTATAGAAAATAATTAAAAATATTACAAGTTCTCATTCATTTAGCCTCTATAACACACCAGGCATTGTGGTAGACATTTAAACACCATAATCCTCACAGACACAAGGTTAGCGTATTGTCTTACTTTACAGATGAGACTCAGATAAATCAATTCCTTCACCCAAGGTCACACAGGTAATAAATAACTTTTCCAGGATCCCCTGGAGTATTTTAAGCAGAAGATATGATCAGATTTATGCTATGGTCAGATCCATCTGGTAGAGGGGGGAATGTTGGAAAAGTCTTAGCAGATGTCAAAAATGTTTTGGTTGGGGGGTGAGATTGATGGATGAAAAAACTATTGAGTGTATTGCAATAATCCAGGCAATAAAGGCCTAAGCCCTAAAATAAAGTAGGTTAAAGATTACAAATGAGTTGAAAAACTTATGATGCAGTACATAATGAACTTGGTGACCAGAGGAATATAGAAAATGATGAGAAGTCCAGGGAGATTCTCAAGTTTCTTTTGATACCGTTCACATATTGGAGAGCTACAGATGGAGAAGTAAGTTTCAGCATAATTATATAAATTAGAATTTGGATATTTGAAAATCGAGATGTCTGTGAGATCGCCAATGTAAAATGTTTCTTAGGCATCTGGACGTAGAAAGCTGGAATTTCAGAGTCTGGGCTAGAGATACAAATTTGGAGGTTACTAATATCTGTAGGAAAATTGAAACCATGGGCATTATTAAGATCACAGTAGGACATCTTGAAGAGTGACAAAAAAGTCCAAGAATCCAGAGTAAAAGCAGCTGGTGAAAAACTCAGTATCAATGGCCAGAAAGGTAGGAGGAAATCCAGGAGAAAGTAATGTCACAAAGACCACAGGTGGATGGTTGAAAAAGGGGAATAATAAACAGGAAAAAAACAGGTGGTGCTGACAGAACAAATAAGATTAAGATACAGGGGGTGTGTCAATTGGATTTATCAATTTGGAGCTCACTGATGAACTTGTTGGAAGACATTTCAATGTGGGAGGGAATCAAGATGGAAATCATACTACAATTATTTGTACTTTTGTCTTTGTATTTAAATGCATTTCCGAATTACTTAAAAGACAAAAAGAAATCATCTGTGGTGGGAACACAAGCAAGAGAAGAGAGAGCAGAAATCACATCCTGTGCATCATAGCTGTATACCCAATACAACTGCAGTGTGGTTCCCTAAGTTATCATTGAGTTAAATGAAAAAAAAATTAACTTTTAACTATGTAATATCTATATATTTGTATCTTCAATTTCAACCTCAAAATTTAAATTTCTAAAATGTAAATTTCAAGAAAAAGTTTTTAGTGTGCTCTTTTAAGCATAATAACTATAAAATAGTTACTAGTTATACTTTATTATAAAACAAATGATCTGAGTTTTCTAAATATTTTTTTTTCTGAATGCTTCTAGCATTTTTCTTTCTTAGTCCTCACACATGGGATGCCTCTGAGATATTTGATTACTTATATTCTGTTGTTGGACAGTTGAGCCACATCCTATTAGTAGTCAGCATTGTTTAGGTTAGGAAGGAAAATGGAAAACGGACGCTTGACACTATCTAGCCTGCTTACCCTCTTCTGTCCAGTTGGTTGCATTGATATGTTAAGTATATTTGCATCTTGATTGAAAAATACAGAGGGTGCCAAAAAAATGTATACACATTTTAAGAAAGGAAAAAACTATTAAAATTGTAATACCCAATATAAACCCATAACAAAAGATGAATACGTGTCACATTTGACTTCTGCAATTACAAGAGGTACTCAAAGTGGTTACCATCAGTGTCCAGATACTTCAGATAATGACAAACTATTGCTTGAGCAATGTTGACCAGTGTCCATTTGTATACATTTTTTTGGCACCCCCGGTATATAACTGGAACTGTACCATTTTATGAAAGGTAAAAAGCCTTGTCATGCTAATTTACTGTAGCATAAAATTAAACTCTTTTAAAAAAAATTTCCCTGTTTCTTTAAGTCAAAACATGAAAAACTTTTGTACTAATGCAATCTGACATGTTTAATTGTTATTTTGCCACAGACTTTTCCCTTGTTTTATTGATAAAAGGAGGGGCCCTCTCTGGAACAGATACTTACCAGTCTTTGGTCAATAAAACCTTCGGCTTTCCAGGGTATCTCCTCCTCTCTCTTCTACAGTTTTTGTATCCTTTTATAGGTAAGATGAATGTGAAATGAATATCATACTTATTTGCATAAACACACTGACATTTCTCGATAAAATAGTTTTAATAGTCATTAAATAGTCATTAAAGAGTCCTAGCAGTTGAAATGTTTTCCAAATTAAGTGCTCGCTTCTTTAGCCATTTTTCCCTTATCTCCTGGTCCTTTCCAGTGGTTTTATGAGTATTTTACTGAAATAAAATAAGAGTGATTTTCATTAGGTTAATGCTTGTGTTTCCCTAGTTTGATTCAAAATAGAATGATCTGGTATTAAAAGTGAGTGAGAAAAACAATAGATTTCTTCCAAGGCTGAAATACATTTTTTTGAAAGCCTAAAGATTTATGGAAGCTGTATACAAGGCCAACATGCTATTTAAAGTTTGTGCCATGATGATGAAAATATTACCTAGCACTTCTTAAATCAATAAAATGTTAAAATTTTCTAATAGCCAAATAGACTTCAGTTTTTAAACCAGTAATACAGAAGCTGTTGCTCAAACCGCTAGGTCCATATGTCTCCACTGAAAGCTAAGAATACATTTACCAAAAATTTTACTTTTTAAATGAGATGATACTTTGGAGTCTTCAATATTTTCTATTATTATTCCTCACTTTGAGCATTAAATGTGTTCTTCAAAAAGCATTTGGAAACTGAACTTTAAATAACAAGTAAACCACATTTTAAATGACTATCAAAACTCACTATTATTTAAAGATGCCATGGAAGAATCAGTTTGCAAATTGAAATCTTTTTTTAATACGAATTTGTATTCTCCCATAAATTTGTTATCTACTTATCTTTATAGCTGTACATATTGGTAATCACAATATATATTTGAAAGTGGTAGGATTATGTTAGTATTTGGAAAGTAATAACATTATTTTCAAAATATTCAAGATGAAAATTGTTGGTGACTGTTTTTTTTATTTTTATTTTTACTTTTAATTTTTATTAAATTTATTGGGGTAACATTGGTTAGTAAAATTATATAGTTTTCAATGACATATTGTTTTAATTATGTTTTTAGCTATGATAAGTTACAACATAATAACCGGAGACACTTTGAGCAAAGTTTTCCAAAGAATCCCAGGAGGTATGTAACTATACTTACTTTATATAATTTTTCATAGTTAATGTGGTTCATAACAATTTATAAGTAAAATACTAGCAAGTTTAAGAGTTGGATGACTTCAAATATCTGGCAGTATCCATGATCCATCCTGATCCTAAAGTATTAATCTAGTTTTATATATAGTTCCATTTTTATTTAGCTGTTTAAAAATATTATTATTATACTGTACTTAGTAATGTTATTATACTATACTTAGTATAATAGTAAATATTAATAGTAATATATATTACAATTAATAGTAAATAATAATAGTAAATGTTATAATAAATATTACTATTATACTTTATATTTGAAATATGCTACATATCATAAATCTGTTGGTAACATTTTCTCATGTATTATTTTTATGACACTTTTTTTTTTTACTTTTATTTTAATTTATTTACTGGGGAACAAACAGTATGTTTTTCCAGGACCCATCAGCTTCAAGTCAAGTAGTTGTTTCAGTCTAGTTGTGGAGGGCGCAGCTCAGTGGCTCATGTGGGGATAGAACTGGCAACCTTGGTGTTGTGAGCACTGTGCTCTAACCAACTGAGCTAACCAGCCACCCTTACTACACTATTTCTTATACAAGAAGCTGACCTTTTCCTCCTCTATTTATATTGAGATGTAACAACATAGTAAAATTAACCCTTTTATTATACAGTCTTGTGAGTTTCGACAAATGCACACAGTCATATAACCACAGCCACAATCACAATAGAGAACAATTCCATCACATCCCAAATTTTCCCCTCTTCCCCTTTGTTGTCAAAATCTTCCTCATCTCCAGCCCCCAGCAACCACTTGTCTGATTTCTGTCCATAGTTTCGCTTTTCTCAGAATGCCAAATCAATGTCATCATATAGTATTTGGCTTTTTTGACTTAGCATAGTGCATTTGAACTTCATCCATGTCTTTGGGTATATCAGTAATTTGCTCTTTAAAAAAAAATGCTGAGGAGTATTTCATGGTGGGAATGGACAACAGTTTATCTGTCACACAGTTGGGGGACATTTGAGTTGTTTCCATTTTGGGGTGATTATGAAAAAGCCGCTGTGAACGTTTTCACGCAGACCTTTAGAACATGTGCCACAACCCCGCTTCCTGATCAACCTTTCATCATATCATAGCTGTCTGAATAATTCAGAGAGCATTAGTCTGTGTGCTTCGAAGAGCTTCTCAGCCAAGCCACATTATCCCTATTTCATTGTGACTAACTCTAATTGTTATTGTAGTTGAGACTGATACAAAAATGCCTTTCTTCTTAGTGCTTGAATCGCTCATTCTAAAAGCCATATAAAGCAAAGTAAAACATAATCTAGAACTAGAAATTGCACCTATTCCTCTCACAGGATTTAGTGGAAACTGAATTCAGGGATACTTTGACCATACAAGCCCACTGCTTGCTTGCTGTGTGACCTTGAGAAAATTAATGCCCTCTCTGAGTTCTAGTCTCTTGATATCTAAATTATTAAAGTATCTAGTGCTCTATAGAATTTTTATGTAAAACAAAAGAGATAATACAGACAGTGCCTAGCGTATAGTAGGCTTACCCAACATTGTTATCTATTATTATTGTTACCCTAAACTATTTGCAGCTTCTGTCCTCATCCCCAGCCTCCAAATCGCAATTTCATAAACTGAGATCATGTGATTGGATATAATGCTAAGGAAAAATGGGAAGAATATAATACCATATATACAATGTAATCTAAATTATATAAATGTTCTATTTGTATAAATAAATTAGGAAAAAATAAGAAAAAAGACATTCACATAAAAACTGGTGGTTATCTTTTAATTGTGGGATCCATGGGATTTTTGTTTGTTTGTTTTCTTTGTTAGTTTCCCAAGTTTTTCAAGGGAGCATGTATTAATTTTTAAAATGTTTATGACTTTATTTTCTTATTTAAGAATAATACATATTTATTAGGAAAATATTGAAGACACAGATAAGCAAAACGGAGAAGACAGAACATACTCATAATCTCTTCCTCTTGGGAAAATCAAGTAGGGACAATCCTCGCAACATTCCCTTCCCTCCTTTCTGATGTATACTTTCAGAGTTTTAAGCATGAACTTCAGGTAGTCCCATGAGTAAGATATCACTATACATCTTGTTCTATTAACATGCTTCATTCTCTTAGTAGTAAGTTAGGGACACATAATCATATCAAAACATAAAGATCTATCCCATTTACTTAATTGGTAGTTCAGTATTCTCCTGTACAATATCTATTGTACAGTTGAATAGACCATAACTACTTTACTTTTCCCTGATAGAAACATTTTGATTAAGTTTTATTGATTTTTAATTTTACAAATAATATATGATACTCCTCATAAAAATAAAACATCATAGATAAGGCTTAAGTTCCCTTTGAAACCCCCTTTCTGGTTATTAATTTTATAATCATCCAAAATGACTTTTAAAAACTAGGTCACATAGTAAAGAACACACTTCATTCTTATTGCAGTTTTTTATATGTTGAATGTGATATTTTGTAATGTGTGATTGCTTATATGTCTTGTAAAAATTAATATGATGCCAAAGTATTTTTAGAAGTAGATAAAATCCTTAATAAAGCTGTGTATTTTTTTTATCCTGAAATATATCACCAATATCTTAGACTAACAAGTGGACAATTGCTTACATGTACTTTTCCCAGATAACCAAAGTTTTGACTCATGATAAAAGTCAAAGTAATGAGAAATATTGGTGTAAGAAGCAGTATGGTTGAATGGTTTTAAAAATTTTGAAAAATGTCAATATTCAATTTTCCTTGCTATTGTTTAAACATTTAAAATGCTTATTTGGGTGTATTTTTGTTGGAAGATCAGTAAAGGTAATAGATTTCATCATTAGTGAAAAATGTCCTTTACACTAATGGAGATCCTCAGTTATTAGGCTCCTACATAGCAATATATTTTAGGGGTTTTCTAGGCCTTAGAATTTTCCCAGTGAAGAAAATATATTTTCTACCAAGCACATTATAGGGGAAGAGGTTTGAAAGAGTAAATAGAGACAGATATACAGATAGTTTAATTCAAATTATGTTTACTAAGAATATGTAAATAGTTGAATTCAGGGTTTGGGGAACTTAAGCTTCTAGTTCTATTGTTTTAATTCACAACTTTATGATAATTGTTTAGTTGTGGCTGAGTTAAACAAATACTCATGATTAATTATTCCATTCCTGTGTATACCTGTTTGTGTGTGTGTGTGTGTGTGTGTGTGTGTGTAAAATTATGCCATTTTGAAATTCCTATCTCGGAACTTCCTTGTAAGTTTGTTTACTAGCCATACAAGAAAATTAGTCTCACTTTTCAGAATAATAGCTTCTTTTTTATTTTTTAAACCGCACTCACTTATTTGGCAGACTTGACTTCTACAGACTTTAAACTTTGCAGACATAAATGCACAAAAACTTGATACCACGGAGGACATTTCAAAAACATAGCTACATGATCTCTGAAGGAATTCAATATGGGCTAAAAATTCTAAACAATGGTGTCTTCATTGGAATAGATATATAGCTCCTGAAGCAAATACTATGATTAGCTTTAAAAATATGTAAATGCTTGTAAGTATGTTTTAATTTATGTTTACATATTTTTCCGTATTTGATGATAGCCCCCCCACACACACACACACAATTATTTACTCGTTTTGGTAGCTAAGATTCTACTTTGTATACCAGGTTTCAGCAGCTTCCCTATGACTTCTTCTCTATCCAACAAGCTGCTTCTCTCTACTTTCCTTTGGGGAAAATACTTTTTCCAATGAAAGGATAGAAATATAGTAAATATTTTTATTTAAATCTTTATTTTTGAAATTTTTTAAAAGTCTTTTTGAAATACAGAATTAAAAAAAAAAGCCTCAGAAAATGCCTTATCTCCATGTAGCTTACTTTCTGAATGAACAGTTTTGCCATTAGAGGGTTTTGGACAAGGAGTGACATAATGTTTTTCTTGCCCATGAAAAGGATCTCTGCAGTGTCTAGGTTAAGAGTGTATTGTACACTATGGGGAAAAAGGAAGGTGGAAACAAGGAAACTAATTAGGAGACTATTAAAATAATTTAAATGTAAAATATTATTATTTGAACTATAAGTTCATCTGTAAGTTATTCTGTATTTACATTTTTGTGAATTATTTACAGTTTTTCATGGTTTTATGGAGCTTATTTACTCTTAAAATCTTTGTCCTTTAGATAGTGTGTAATGTTATTTAAGTCATTTTGATAATTCAGTATTTTTCTATTTACTTGTGTCACTGGCGTGCTACCCATACTTATAAACACTTTATAATACTTATTGTGTTTTTTAGTTGACCCTGAAAACTTGTTCATTGGTCGCCACTTCATTATTGTGCTTTCCACGGTGACTTTTACTCTGCCTTTGTCCTTGTACCGAGATGTAGCAAAGCTTGGAAAGGTAATTTTTATATTTTAAGTAGGCACTGAAATGCACTTTGTTACCTGCATTTTGTCCAACTACTGTCTATATGACCAAGCTCTTAATTATAGTAGTTAACTTTAGATTCTTTTAGTGTACTGATAATTATGCAAGAGTAAGCTCTGGTTGAATCTTGAATTTATTTTGGGGAATGGATGGTTAAATAGTTGATGAGTGTAAACTGAATATGCACTATCTTTTTTCCTACTTAACATAGTTATTCTAACGGATGTCAGGCAGCCTCTTTAAATTTAGAAAAAAATAAGAACCATTAAACCAAATCTAATTTACTAAACAATGTGCTATCATTTTTATAGATAGAGGTTAAACAATTTAAAATTAAATTAAATTTAGAAGTAAGGATGAATCACTTTATTGGCTTAAAATTTTCCTTGTAGATTACAATGTCTATGGTGCCTATTTTTCACCCATCGAATTCTTCACCCATCGAATTCAAACGTCAATGTGTTGATTGATTCATTGTTGAGAATTTGTCCAATATTTATGATTGCTATTGTGAAAGACAAATGCTGATTTTTTCTAATGAAACCAACCGAATAATTGGTCAACTCCTCACATGCTCATCGACATAGAGCAGTCTTTACCCAGCTGTATTTTATTTCCTTCCTCTCGAGGAATGTTTGTATTTTATGCAACATATTATTGGTGCTATAGCTACATGATGCCAAGCATTCCAATAAAAAAATTTTAAAGAGTTATACAGATGATATTTTTATATTCTATTTTGAAAAATCCAACGGTTGATTGAGTGTTACTTTTCACCGTGATATTTGATGTGTATCCACAGTTAAGAAGCCCCTCCTTTCAGGTAATGTTGATAGTGTAGGTAATAGTCCAGCGTATTCTGACTATTCTGCCTTCCTTCCCTAACAGTTACCCAGAAATAAACAAGACTGTATCAAAAGGTGCTGTTTTTGATGAACTGTCTGAAATGGCTGGACTTATTTCCATTCACATGTTCAATGTAGACATAAATGTTACCTTCTCAGAGGAGAAAGCAAGGAATTCATGAAAAGAAAGCTATTAATACTAATATTCTATCATATTATTACCTGAACATTTTCCCTAAATGTCTCTTAAAAGCGCCATATTGAAAAATCTAAATGAATCTCCCCGTGAGCAGAGCAGGGTAGGCAGGAACCCTGATTTGTAGTCAGGATAGTTGCATTTGAGTTCCTCCTCCACCACCTTCTTGCTGTGTGACGTTAGGAATATTACTTAATATGTCTGTTCCTGAGGAGATCAGAGGATTCATACTAGAATCGTCTTTCTAGTTAAAAACTAACAACACAGAAAACAAGGTTAATGACAATCAAAAGCGATTTTATATTTTTCTTATCAGAGAAAAAAGTCTAAAATGTGTTTCTCTATTTTAAAAATTATGAGAAGAAGCATAGATCTAATGTATTGAGTCACAGAGCACATACACACACAGATCAGTTTATGTTTGAACCAGTTGAGATAGTGACAGGAGAGCGAGGAATGAGCAAAGACTTACAAACACAAACAGCAAATTCACAAAGGAAAGGTAGACTAGCAGAGCTAGAAAACAGAATATAAAAGCAGATGTACCCCAAAAATCTGTGTGTGGAAGGGGTTGTATTGGAAGGGTGAGGGTATGGTGAAGACAGAAGCAGAAGGAGCAATTATAGATAGGAAAAAAAAAGCAAAGTCAACACTAAAATAGGGCCTGAAGAAAAAGAACATAATCTCACTTTACTTTCCTAAACGACAATCACCAGGAAGCCACTAAAAACATTTCCATCGATGATGCGAGATGACATTAGTTATACACTATATGATCCTTGCTCTCTGATTTAGAGGGAAAAAACTGAGTATGAACTGATAAAAAGTTACATTCCTGAGATTTCACCCCAATCTATACAAATAAACTACTAAATAATTGTATTTAAAATTGTACATACATCAATACAAGTGGGAAGAAAAACACCTAATATTTTCAATAAAATAATTTCTGTGTTATACTGACAATATCTTTCCTTTTTCTTTTACAGATCTCTCTTATGTCTACAGTTTTAACCACTCTGATTCTTGGAATTGTAATGACAAGGGTAATTTCATTGGGCCCACACATGTAAGTTTTGTGGCTATATTGGATGGTCTTTATGAAACTTATAACTTTCGCATAGATATTTGTGTGACATAAATGCTGAAATGTAAAGTAACCGTGGAACCAGAAGCCTCATTTATCTTTAGTGCTTGATAAAATGAGAGAAAATAATTACAGCCAGGTAGACATACATGTTTCCCTTGGACCCTGCATGGCCGGTGAGGTTAAACTAAGTTTACTTATTTATTTTCATGGCCAGCCCTAAGAATTAGAATAAAGAAGAGATTCTGAATAGTGAGAAATGGGATTGAAGTAGAGCACACAGGAACAAAAGTGATGGCAGAAATTTCAATACCTACTTCAGAGATGAATTTGTTCTTAACCGTTTCACCAATTTAGGCTGAAAGGAGAAGAATAAAGAATATTTTGGATGTTTTTTTGCCATTAAACAAAATGTAGTGATGATGAAAGCCATCTCTACTATGATGATATTCTTTAATTATTTTGTGTTGAAATGCTTTGTAATTTGTGAACTGATAGTAATAGCCGATAGTGGTATTTATTTGATTTTTAATGTTATTTGTTGAGCCAAATAAAATGTTGGCAACTTGATATTGGTTCCCCAAATTTCATTTACTCATCCACGAAATTCAGAATGTGGGGACTGCTGATCTAAACTGCAGGTTTTATGATTTGATTATAGAATAGATTCACCAGACAAGGACTGGGAAGTTTATATCTATAGTCCCAAGAGAATGCTGGAATGAAACTAACTAAATTGGCTTTAAATGCAAAATTAGAGTCCCATGATCACAATAAATATTTGCTGAATAAATAAATAATACAATATGGAGTTTCCATGCGACCTTAAATATTTTCTCTATCCCAAATAAGACAAGATAAAATTAATTTTAGACATAATGTCTAGGACAGCGCAAGGGACATGCTAGGTCTTCAATGAATGTTGTATGTGAGAAAAAAACAAATAAGCCTAATGGATATAGCTATAGCTATAAATAGCATTCATAATGTGGTCCCTAGGATAGCTTATTTATCCTGTTGATTAATTGTTGTTTTGTAAAATCACTTCATTTCAACTGTTTATGTTCATGTCAGCCTTCTTAATTTACCAGGAAAATACCAAAAATTATGCCACAGATTAATTTGGAAGGAAGTGTAAATATCCCGTCTAACTGCATTTGGTATGGCCTTTTCTTTGAAGAAACAAACATCTATTTGTTTAAGTATTTAAACAAAAGGGAAAGGTATAAATATCTAGGTTTATATTATTGGCCTCTTCAAAAAACTTAATCCCAGTTCATAATTGTATTAGTCTGCCTGGGTTGCTGGAACAAAATACTATAGACTGGGTGACTTAAACAACAGAAATGTATTTCCTCTTAGTTCTGGAGGCTGCCAGCATAGTCGGTGAGAAATCTCTTCCTTGCGTTCCTGTTGTGTCTTCTTTCACATGGCAGCGAGTTGAGAGGGACAGCAGCTCTCTGATGTGTCTCATCCTTTAAGGGCACAATACCATCAAGAGGGTTCCACCCTCACAACCTCATCTAAACCTAATTCTCTCCCAAAGTCCCCATCTCCAGATACCTTCTCATTGGGGGTTAGGACTTCAACATATGAATTTTGTTGGGGGCACAGTTCAGTCCATTACAGTCGTGTTTTTCCAATGCACCGGGTTTGTTTAAATGTGGCCATTTATCTTTCTCATTTAGTAAACATTTATTAAATGCCTGTTGTTTGTAGCTATTTTGCTGTGCCTTCAGAGAAAAGAACAGAGAGGCATAAGTCACCACCTGCTGCAAGTTGTTGACAATTAGATATGGAGCAGGGACATATTTTTTAAAAAAGAAAAAGAAATGACAGTATGCTATGAGGAGTGCAAAATAGAAGCGTAAATTAGGTGCAGCTGCAGTGCCATAGAAGAGAGTGCTTAATAGTCTGTCTGAATCAGGGAGGGCTTCCTGGAGGAAGAGAAATCTGATCTACATGTTTTGAAAGAGTAATCTAAATATTTTAAGATTAATAAGGGTGTAAAGGCATCACAAGCCCAGGAAGGATAAGTGTAAAAGCACAAAAACATATATTAAATTCTGCTGACATTTATTTAGCATCAATTATGTTGGTACTGTATTCTGTTCTGATTTTGAAAAGCTGAATCCACAGCAATGAAGAGCTAATAAGTAAATGAACAGAATACAATAGATACTAATTTTTAGCTAAAATTTTTAATTGTTCAAGGCAGAACTATTTTAATTGAAACTTTTATTTTGAAAAGTGACCCTAGAGAATAAATACTTGGGATATATAATAAGAGGTCTCATAGATTTCGTATAGAGCTATGAGGCAATATTGAGGAAGAAAACAAGTAGTTAAAAGTTGGAGGTAAATAAATTATTGATTAATTGAACTCCGGGAGAACAGTTTAAAACAATGATTTTTCTGGCTTTACATTAGAATTACCTAAGTAGCTTTTAAAAAAACTGATGCCAGGTCCCCACCTGCAGAGATTCTGAGGGAATCTGTCTAGGGGTCAGGCAATTGGATTCATTATTTAACAGACCTGAGCCTGAACAAGGATCTTAAAGAGCTTAAACTCACGAGTACAGGTTTAACTGACACATCCTTTCTAAAAATATACCTGAGATTGTGTGTTATTTTAGTTACTCTTTTATCATTATTTTTCATGATTCATTCTCCACTTATTTACTTTAGTATCTTTTATATACAAAATGTTATGTAAGATACTATTGTGAATACAAAGAGAAATAAAATATCTTTGCCGTCAAGGGGCTCACCGTTTAGTGGGGAAGATAAGCTGATACAAATGATCATCATATAGGCAATGAATCTCCACGCAGAGGAAAGGGAAAGGAGAGGCCACTTCCTGGTAGGGCTAAATGCATTGATTTCATGACCAAAGCGCCATTTATTTGTGTTGTAAACAAAACGAGGCCTGTCTTTCTAACCTTCCTTTAGTGGTGATATCTTATTTTATCTGAGCCTTTGAAATTTTTCTAATAACAGGGATTATTTACTTAACTCTTTCAATATTTAGATGTTAAAGAAGTGTGCTTTTTTTTAAATTCTGTGCCACCTTTTATTTCTGTTTGAATACTACTGCAAACAACTTCTGTTTCTCCAGATTTACAATCAGGCTAATCAAACCCTGTGTTCAGGGGTTGGTATAATAGCTAGTCAGGCAGGCTTCTTTCTGAAAACCTGACAGCCACGAATGCTCATAATCCATAAAACATGAGACATTCAATACTCCATGTGTGTTTTTTCTCATTTTTGGTTCAGATGAATGATCAGAAAAGCTATACTTTTTCATAGGGCTTTTAAAGTGGTATTTGAAAAAGATCTTTAAACCCACTATCAGAAAGGAGGAAGGTCTGTAATGGCTACTGGTATTGACCTTGTTACTATGGAAACACCTTTTTAGTGGTTGTGTTTTAAAAATAAAACACACAATTCAATTTCCTTTTCCATAACTCATAGGCCCATAAATTCCACTTTTTGATATGATTTCAAATATCTCACAGTCCAATGACTTTCAGTTCTTTTTGGAAATAATGGTCAGCTTTATTGTATTTTCTAACCTTTTGCTGTCTAAAAATGAGGTAACAAGACAATTTAATTGCTTTCTGGAAAGTGTGCTAGTATAAAAATGCAATAACACAGTTCTTCCATTCTTTTTCAAACTAGAATCAAAGTCATTATTCCTATGAAAACCTTCATTCTGTGCCTCATTAATATTCAACTCTTTACATTCAGAATAGAAATGATAGCATGCAGCCCAAATTTACAACTATCTTCTCTTCTGATAACATCTCTTTTACAGCATTTTAATCAATAGTGTGGTTGGTGTTCCAAACATAATTCCAAAAAATGCAGCTACACTTTCCACCGGTATTTATGCATATAAAATGTGCCTTCCCTAAGGATCTCAGTACAAACTAGATACTTTACTCCTTGTCCATTCTAATCCTGAAATTCTACAATATAATGCTATACAAAAAGAGGAACTAAAGGCAATTAAAGAAGGGATCAGAAAAAAGTGGGTAAAGACAGAGGAATATTGCATATTTGAAAAAAAAAGGAATAATTAGTTTTGTCAAATACTAGCCACTGAATGTTTTGATAATGTATAAATTATTGCCATTTTTGTTGCAAAGCACAACCACCACAGTACCCTAACTAAATAAAGCAAAGAGAATTTATTGACTCACATTACTTTAAAGTTCAAGGGTAGTTGTGTTATTAGGTTTGGCTGGATTTAGGAGCTCAGTCAGTGAAATCAGACATAGTTCCTACTTTCCACTTCTTGGCTTCGCTTCTTGTTCTATCTCTAATTTCTGAAAGGCTTTCCCTTTATTTTGACAAGATGGCAGCAGCAGTCTCAGCCTGCATCCATTCAAGTCCAAGTCCATATAAAAATAAATAGCTTTCTCTTATAACTTACCTCCAACCTCACTTCTAGTATTAGTTCTGATTGGCTCTAATGAGGATCTGTGACAACCCAAACCTTATCATCATGGCCTGTGCTGAGTTGCTTGTATTTAGATTACATGTCTATCCTTGATGTTAAGGATAGGGTCAACCCAACTACAGCACATGGGCTGAGAGTCGGGGGAAGGATGATCTCAAAGGGAATCAAGGCAGTGATGCCAGGAGTAGACATTGTATGATACAAACTACAGATTTCCACTTCAGGGGATAGGAAATTACTGGTAAACTTCCAGATTTTCCATCCAACAATATGGGTGGAAGCCAGGTTAGAGAGAGTTAAGATGAAAGTGAATGATAGCGAAGTGAACTTTGCAAATCCTGTCCCTTCCCCGTTTTATTTGTGTGTGAAGAGTATCAATGAATGCAAATGACATGGGAAAAACAGTGATTCAAGGGAGTAAAAACTTTAAAGTACCCTTCCTACCATAGGTGATATTGAACATGTTATAGACCAAGCCAGAAGACGGAGCAAGGCACCCAGGAGATCTGGAAAAGTT